CAGAAAATAGGGTCTTTTGTAAATAGGCATTTCGCACCTAGTGTATACTAGTACTAAGTACCTAACCAAGATGAAGCGTTCGGAAGTCGCTGTTCGGCTCTCGGCAATCTTCGGGAGACTTCGGTATCTGTTCGTATGGTTCTTTGGAATCCTCATCAGTTTGTGACCGTGTTCAGTGTACGCATGATTCTCGGGAATCTTTCAACGGGCCGTGTTCACGGTGTTATGTGTTATGTGACTGTATGATTTTTGGGAATATTTCAACGGACCACTGTATTGTGATGGCAACGGGCTGAATGAGTAGACACAGTGTATGTTCTAACATGCGCGAAACAATAATAAGGATTTTATTTAATGGTTTACAAAACAATGTAACGTTACATGTATTGTTAGATCTCAACAAAAACTCGGTGGCCTAGCGCCTGTGCTCGAACCCAAACCACCTCGGGAGGTAGTTTCAAACCGGCGTCAACGCATTCCGACTTCAGAGCCTGAACGCAATGTGACTTCACAGGTTTACTTAACATATTTATTTATATGCAATACCAAAATTTACGCGGCAGCAACTTTTAAAGAACAGTCATGGGGTCCATACTCTATAGGTGACCAGGAGCTACTGAATAGAGTACAGCACAAGGCGACGCGACTTGTACCTGGGTTCAGAGAAATCAGCTACGAGGACAGATTACGTCGTCTGCAACTTCCTACTCTTGAGCACCGCCGCAAAAGAGGTGACGTGATACAAGTCTTCAAGTTCGTCAAGGGTTTCGACCGTGTCGACCCAGGCCGGCTGTTCAACTTAAACGTAGATGGACGTACCAGAGGCCATCCATACAAAATCGCCAAACCACAAGCGAAGAAGTTAACTAGATCAAACTCTTTTAGTGTACGAGCAATAAATGCTTGGAATAGCCTTCCCGCAGATGTTGTGGCAGCAGACACTGTTAACTCTTTTAAGTCAAGACTGGACAGTTACTGGAGGGGGACGGAATACACATAATTTTCATATTACAACTTCTGAACATTACAACTTTGAACTCTGGACATTACAACTCTGAATTTTGAACATTACAAACTCTGATATTTTGGATATTACAAACTACTGAACTCTGGACATTACAACTTGATCATAACAAACTCTGAACTCTGGACATTACAAGACGAGTACAACTCTGAACATTGTA